TTTCTTTATTTATTTATTCCTCTCTCTCTCTCTCTCTCTCTCTCTCTCTCTCTCTCTCTCTCTCTCTGTCAGTCTGTCTGTATCTCTCTCTTTCTCTTTGTGTGTGTGTGTGTGTGTGTGAGCGGTGGGTTTCAAAAATTTTTGGAACCTCTTCTGTAGGTGTGGCCTGCTTTCCGGGTCCACTGGTAAAACCTCTTCTAACCGGTTCAGTAGATTTGACGAACCGGTTCTACCGAATAGGTGCGAACTGGTAGGAACCCACCTCTGCGTTGCTTCTTGTCTTCAGGTGATTTAGACAATCAGTTGACCCCCCCTCTTCTTTGGGGCAGCCCCTCAAATACTGGAAGACTGTTCTCATGCCCCCCCTTAGTCCTCCTTTTCTCCGGACTGGCCCAACCCAAATCCTGTAGCCGTTCTTGGTATGTTTTAGTCTCCAGGCCTTTTCTCTGCACTTTTCCCACAAAGTCTCAATAAATGTACGGTTGTAAACTGAGGACCATTCTGTACGACTCAAACCAGGTAGGGAATCACAGAGAAATTGGCCCTGGACTCATGGAAACCAGAGGAGGATTGCTTGAGAGAGTGGGGGCCATCAGGAGGGATTCCTTGAGGACTAGAAACGTTTCCATAGTGGCTTTTGTCTAGCACAGGTGGTGTCTAGTCTGCCTGCGGTTTATTCTCTTACCGTGGTTTGGGAACGAGCTCTTCCGGGACCGGGGTCCAAATGGATTCGGGAGATTTTTGTTCCCGGAAGCGACCTTCAAAAACAGATGCAATTTGGCCCATGTCGTATGCGCAGACGGCCGAGCCGGGAATGCTGCAAAGACACACACACACACACAAGCACAAAAATGTGTTGGGAAGGCAAACTGTGTAGCTCCAGATCACTAGATTCCAGTTGCGTTTTGGAGTTTTCTAAGCGACTGTACTTAAGATTGAACCCAAGGTAGAACATACAATTAGAATATTAGGGTTGGAAGAGACCTTGGAGGTCTTCTAGTCCAACCCCATGCTTGAACAGGAAACCCTATACAATTTAAAACATTCTATTCTGTTCCATTCCACTCCACTCCACTCTATTCTGTAATTCTATTCTATTCTATTCTTATTCCTGTCCNTTAGCTGTTCCCTTCGTCTGGCGACTCTGTGCATGCGCACACTGGGAACAGGCTCCAGCTGTTCGTCTGCCTCACTGATTTCTGACTCCGAAGGCAGCTGATAACTGTCAGAAGGCCCTGGCCCCCACTCTGCCTCCGACACAGAGCCCTCATCAGAGCCTTCCCCAGACTCCAGGACTGGCCCAGGTTCCTCCCCAACCTCCTCACTCTCCGAATCTGCGGCAAGATCCACTGGCTGCTGGAGGGCCACAACCCCTCTGTCATCACCCATCCCTACAGCCTCCTTAACCGCTTGTCCATCTCTGTACAGGTAGTCCTCAACTTACAACTGTCCGTTTGCTGACCGTTCAACGTTACAACGGCATTGTGACTTAGGACTGTTTTCCACACTTACGGCCGTTCGAATCCGGCACGTATTTATGACCGTTGCGGGTATCCTGGGATCACTTGATTCCCTTTGGTGACCTTTCCGACAAAGTCAATGGGGGAAGCCAGAAGGTGGCCAGAGGGGAAATCACGTGACCTTGGGATGTGGCAACCGTCGTAAGTATGAGTCCGTTGCCAAGCGTCTGAATTTTGATCACGTGACCGCGGGGATGCCAAAACGGTCGTAAGTGTGAAAAATGATCACAAGTCACATTTTCCCCCAGGGGTGTTGTAACTTAATGGTCACTAAATCAATCAGAATAGAGCTGGAAGGAAGGGACCTTGGAGGTCTTCTAGTCCAGCCCCCTGCTCAAAGAAGAGACCCTGAGCAATTGGAGATAAGTGGCTGCCCAGTCTCTTCTTCTTCAAAACCTCCAGTGATGGAAGCACCCCACAACTTCTGGTGGCAGCCAGTTCCACTGGCGAATTGTCCTCCCTGTTAGGAGAGTTTCTCCTTAATCCCAGGTTGCTGCTCTCCTTGTTGAGTTTCCATCCGTTGCTTCAGTGGTGGGTTTCAAAAAAATTTGGAACCTACTCTGTNCCCAGCCGTGCCATCTCCTGGTGTGCAATTTTTGCAAGACGACAGAAATAATGCTTGATTAATTTCACATAAAACAGCAATTAAGACAGATTTAATTAGATCCAGACGGTCTTGGCTGAGACGGATAGGAAATTAACGGAAGCGAACACTTCCACCTGCCTGGGAAGAAAAGAAAAAGCAAGGAAAATTGTGCCAAGATTGACTTACTACCGTCCGTTTAGCGACGGACGGAACTGAAAAAAAAAGGGGCTAAAAAGGCCTGTGTTTCACCCTTAACGACCGCCGCAGCATTCCCTTAAGGGTCACCCGATCAAAAATCCAGAGGCTTGGCAATTGGTTCGTATTTATGACGGTTTTGAAACTGATTCATGTTTATGACAGTCGTAAAAGGGGGCGACGCCATCCCCTTTCGCGACCTTCTGACGAGCCAAGTCAAAGGGAAAATCCGATTCGCTTAACAACCATGTTTCTAACTGAAAGACGGCGGTGGATTCGGTTAGCAACTGTGGCGAGGGACGGGGGGGGGTTTGAATCCGGCGAGAAACGGGGCAAAATTCTCTTTGACACTGTCTCGCTTAGCGATGGAAATTTGGGGCTGTGTCGCGGTCGTAGGTTGAGGACGACGCGAGGCCTTGCTAAGGAGATGGCCTCTGGATTTCCAGATGTTTTGCAGCCTGCATTAGCAAAAGGAGCCAGAGGCTTTGCTTGCCCGCGTGAAACGAAGTCATTGTGATAAGCCGAGATTCAACCTGGTTAATCGGGAATGCTGATTTTGGAAGAGGCCTTTCTGTGTCTGTGCAAACCCTAATCCTGCTTTAAACCTCCGGGTCTCCCTCGCTTGCAAATTGGAGCAGACGCCACGGCTTAATTGGCTGAAACTGACACCACCAAGCGCCCCGAAGGGAGAGAGAGCTCAGCTCGCGCCCAGGAAAAGCAGGGGAGGTTATTCATTCACGCTTCGTGGTTTATTTACAGGGAGTCCTTACGACCATCATTTTCCTTCCTTCCTTTTCCTTCCTTCCTCTCTCCCTCCTTCTTTACTTTCCTTCCTTTCTTCCTCCNAGACAGACAGACAGACAGACAGACAGACAGACAGACAGACAGACAGACAATCACCATTTGGGAACTTCCCAGCTAAGTCAAGGGGGAGGGGGAGGATAGCCAGATTCACTTAACAACTGCACAATTCACCTAACAACTGCACGTTTCATTTAAGAATGGCAGAGATTAACAATGGCAGCGATTCACTTAGCAACTGTGGCAAAAACATCTGTAAAACTGAGTGCGGCTTGTTTAACAATCATCCTGCTCGGCAACAGAAATTCTCGTCGTTGTGGATGTGCGGTTGTAACTCAAGGACCACATGTAAAGAAGGGCTCGGTTTTTAGATACATGTAATATTTGTGTTAGATTCCCTGCTGATTTACAAGTTTGGGTAAGATTTGCTATTGCATCAAACCAAACATTTCATTTTTAGTTTCATTACCGCATTACTAGAATAGAAGGACGGAATATAAAACACGATGCAACGCAATGCTTGATACGACAGAATAACATCATGCATTTATATTGTAATATATTCCATTGCAATTGAAACTGAGGCCTCCCCAGCGCATAAGCTACCGTCTTCTGAAATGGCTTATTTATTAAAACGATGGAAGAATCGGAATAAATACAGCTACAATAAAAAGACAAAGAGATATAGGCGACAAAGAATAAAAGATCGGTAAATAAAAGATTTGACAACGATTCGTAAAGATGGAAATTCAGAGAAAAGTCCCTTGTACGCTGTGCTGCAATATTTTGAAATCTCTACAAGATTGTAAACGTGGCATTACTATCACCAATTGCTTCTTTTATGGTCTCACAAAGTTCACCATAGTAATCAATCAATCAAAATAGAGCTGGAAGGGACCTTGGAGGTCTTCTAGTCTAACCCCAAGTAGGGCATCTGTGGTGGCCAAGTGCTAAGGCAGGACTTCCTTCGAATCCTCCCTCCCTATCATTATCTCCTTCCTTCCTTTGTCCGTCCCTCCCTTCCTTCTTCCTTCACTATTTCCTTCCTTCCTTTTTTTCCTTCCTTCCCTTTTCCTTCCTTCTTCCCTTCTCCTTCCTTCCTCCCTCCCTTCTTTTTTCTCCTTCCTTGCTTCCTCCCTCCATTTCCTCCCCAATTCGTTCATTCTCCTTCCTTCCTTCCATCCTGCCTCCCTCCCCTTCTTCCTTCCCCCTCCCATCACTTTCTTCCATTCTTCATTCCTCCCCTTTTTCCCCCCTCTCCTTTTTCTTCCTTTCTCCTCCTTCCCTCCCTTCCTCATTCATTCATTCTCCTTCCTTCCTTCCATACTGCCTCCCTCCCCTTCTTCCTTCCTCCTCCCATCACTTTCTTCCATTGTTCCTTCCTCCCCTCTTTCCCCTTCTCATTTTTCTTCCTTTCTCCTCCCTCCCTCATTCACTCATTCTCCTTCCTTCCTTCCTTCCATCCATACTGCCTCCCTCCCCTTCTTCCTTCCCCCTCCCGTCACTTTCTTCCATTCTTCCTTCCTCCCCTCCTTCCCCCCTCTCCTTTTTCTTCCTTTCTCCTCCCTCCCTCCCTTCCTCATTCATTCATTCTCCTTCCTTCCTCCCTTCCTGCCCGCCCTCCCTCCTTCCTTCCTTCCCTTCTTTTTCCTTCCCTCTTCATTCTCCTTTCTTTTCCCTTCCCCTCTTCCCTTCTTTTTCCTTCCTTGCTCGCTTCCCATCTTCCCTTCTTTTTCTTGGTCTTTCCTCTTTCCCTTTCTCCTTTCCTGTCCCTTCTTGTCTCCTCAAATGCAAAACGGGGAAACATTTCTCCTTTCCTTTTCTTTTTAGTTTGTTTTGCTAGCCCTCCACCAGTGAAAATGGAGCCCGTTTTCAGCATTGATGGCCTCCTGCAGTCCCCTGCTCTGTTTTTGCTCGCAGAGGACTGCAGGAGGCAGTCGTGGCAGAGAACGGGCCCGGGGGGCCTGTATGCAGCCCTCCCGGGTGCCGTTTCGCTGGTCCTCTGCTGTTCCCAGGGACTGCTTACAGGCCAGATCTAAGCACCCTGCAGGCTGGATGCGGCCTGGGGGCCTTGCGTTTGACACCCCTGTCCTATACCACTTCAGTAGAACAGTAGAAGACCATCTATGACAGGGGTTTTCCCTACCTTGATCATTTTATGCCATGTGGACTTCAACTCCTAGAATTCCCCAGCCAGCCATGCTGGCTGGGGAATTCTAGGAATTGAAGTCCAGATGTCTTAAAGTTGTCAAGATGGGAAACTCTGGTCTGTGGTGATTCTGTTGTGGCGGATCTGGCAGCAGATTCAGAGAGTGAGGAGGTTGGGGAGGAAGATGGGCCAGTCCTGGAGTCTGGGGAAGGCTCTGAGGAGGGTTCTGTGTCGGAGGCAGAGAGGGGGCCAGGGCCNTCACAGTCTCCTAGTGATTGGTCCAAAGTCACCCAGCTGGCTTTCATGCTTAAGAATGAGCTAGAAATCAGTCTCCTAGTGATTGGTCCAAAGTCACCCAGTCAGCTGTCATACCTAAGAATGAGCTAGAACTCACAGTCTCCTAGTGATTGGCTCAAAATCACTCAGCTAGCTTTCATACCTAAGAATGAACTACAACTCACCGTCTCCTAGTGATTGCCCCAAAGTCACCCAGCTGGCTTTCATACATAAGATGGAACTAGAACTCACTGTCTCCTAGTGATCGACTGAAAGTCACCGTGCCGGCTTTCATGCTTAGGACAGGTCTTGAACTCACCAACTCCCCATGATTGGCCTAAAGTTACCTGATGGGCTTTCATACTTAAGGTGGAACTAGAACTCCCCATCTCCCCGTTTCTAATCCACCACTTGAACGACAAGGCCAAACCGGCTCTCAATTTGCTGGAGAAATCCCGTCGACTGGCATGGTTTAACATCCACCGTGTTGTCCCTGTTTCATTGGGAATCCCTGCCCAGCCCTGCCCCGCCCGGATTGAAGCGACACCCCCTAGTTCAACAGAAGCAAAAGTGGGGACTCACTTCATACAGGTGGAGTGCTGGTGGCACCTGGCCACAGGGGCCCGCACAACGCAGGGCGGGAAGGCCAGGAGCAGCGATCCCGTAGCCTTGTCCAGCTCCATGCTCAGCAGCTTCCGTTCCCCGGTTGCGTCCTTCCCACACCTGGGAAAAGAGAAAGAGGAGGATGGGATGGCAGGTCGCAGAATCAACCGGATATTTTAGTTTGGATTCGGCATGTATATCCACCCTTCCATCGAGTCCGTCCCAAGGATCCAGGGGATTGTTGTTGTTGTTATTTATTCAATGTATATGCCATCCAATGCTAACAACTCCGGGGAGGGGAGGATGGAGCAGTGGCGGTAAGTTTACAAATAAAAATGTGAAAAACAACAGGAAGGAAAAAGACAGAGAAACATGAAAAATGACTTTGGGAGGCTCCCCGAGTGGTGTTTTAAGCTGCAGGGCTCTACAGATAAAAATGAATAAGAAAAATGAAATAAAATGAAATAATAAAATATAAAACAAAACAAAATAATTCCGAGAATTCCCCAGCCATGACAGGTGGACTTCAACTCCCAGAATTCCCCAGCCATGATAGGTGGATTTCAACTCCCAGAATTCCCCAGCCATAATAGGTGGATTTCAACTCCCAGAATTCCCCAGCCATGATAGGTGGATTTCAACTCCCAGAATTCCCCAGCCATGATAGGTGGACTTCAACTCCCAGAATTCCCCAGCCATGATGGGTGGACCTCAACTCCCAGAATTCCAGAGCCATGATAGGTGGACTTTAACTCCCAGAATTCCCCAGCCATGATAGATGGACTTCAACTCCCAGAATTCCCCAGCCATGATAGGTGGACTTTAACTCCCAGAATTCCCCAGCCATGATAGGTGGACTTCAACTCCCAGAATTCCCCAGCCATGATAGGTGGACTTTAACTCCCAGAATTCCCCAGCCATGATAGGTGGACTTCAACTCCCAGAATTCCCCAGCCATGATAGGTGGACTTCAACTCCCAGAATTCCCCAGCCATGATAGGTAGACTTCAACTCCCAGAATTCCCCAGCTGTGAGGAAGCCTC